CAAAGAGGAAAATATCACAAAAGGCACATCGATTAACCAGTTTGGATGTTGCACCATATGGACAAGAATCATCACGATCAGAATGCTACAGAATACAATGGAACTTTGGATCACGAATGCCTCACTTCACGAACAAATTACCTGGAACAGGCCTTGGATGATGAACGGTGTTTCGAGACATGAACACTCAAGTCGCCAATATAGAACTTTTAAAGATGTTTTGAGGTGGTAACCTATGCCACATTATTAAAGCTTAGAGAGCTCTGAAAACTGAATCAGAAGGAGAATCGAATGGCGCTTGGAGACGAATAAAAAGAAAAGATGTCTCTAATGATAGTTACCTGATTTTTTATGGAAGAAAATGTGGTATTTAGACAATAATACTTTTCTCGTCACTTTAAACTAATGCCGTCCGTTTTCCTTTGTATGTATGCAGTAAAATTAAATTAAATTTTCGTCAGTATTTTATCTAAAACTGTGTTTATCATTTTTAGCCCAAAGATGCGTTAGACTAGACGGAACGTCATTTTGCGTCGGCTCACTATAAATGTCCGTTTCACTTTTCAAGCCGTAAATGTTATCGCCGTCTATTATATAAAAAGAAATTAAATAGTGAAGAATCTGCATGAATGTATTCTCGCATTGTGAAAAAATAACGGTATCTAGAGCCATCAAATTTTTCTCCGCCCGAATATGAGCACCTAGAGGCCTGAATTTGGAATTTGTTTTATTATCTATTTCATATTTTGTAAAACTTTAACGAATGTTTGATTAACAAACTCAACAATTTCAAAGCGAGAGGTAGCATCACTGTACGAAAAAAACACTTTTATCTCCAACGCGCGAGACTAGTCATTCTCACACTTTTTTACTTCATGCACACCATTGTAGATCATTCCCCTTTATATACAGAATTATATTCCCCTTTATATATAAAAAATTGCTAACTACGTGTACGTTTATTTAGATAAATTTTGATGGCGCAGTACAAAGCAGATGGAGTCAAGTGGACGGTATCTCCCCCCCCCCAGTTGAGAACCTCGACATTAAACCAGTGCTTAACCCTTTGCGGCACACCTAAAAATTTCCTTCTGTACGCACAGAAATATTGAATGAAAAAGGATTTGAAGATTACTATAGGTTACTCTGAACCTTCTTTATTTATTGTAGATGGCAGCTCAACACAAACCAGTCCATATATTTTAGCCATGTTTAGTTTTTTAAGCCCTCATTTTTCAAAGAAATCTTCCAGATTTTTTTTAGGGTATAAAAGGAATTGTTTGAAAAGAAATATCTTTTTTTTTTTTTTTTTTTTTTTTTTTTTTTTTTTTTTTTTTTTTTTTTGGCTGTATGCTAATTTTTTTATTCTATATTAGTTTTAAATTTTTACCTTGAAATCTTGCCCAAAATCGAACGGCGAACCGAGGTGTTTATTCCCAGACTGGGCTCACGGCGAGTCCTGAGAGGCAGCTGTATATTTCTTTGCAGCTCATCGGTCAGCTCATTAACATAGAAAGGTGGGTTCACATCTGTGTTTCATTTCCTATATTTGTCTTTTGGGAGGGCAAGAGAGGTGTTTGGTTATCAACTAAGAAATTGTTGGGGTGATTTTCGGAAGGTCAAATATAATTTTATCAGTTAGCTGTTTGGTTTTTTACAGCAATTCTCTTTTTCTCTTTGGCTTTGGTTCAAAGAAGTTCTCTTAGCGTTACGTTTAATAGTTTTGAGTTGTAGACATTCATATTTTATTTTATAGTTTATAATTTCAAAATTGTAGGTATAATATTAGTTTATTTTTTTCGGATTTTTAATTATTTTCCGAACGGATCGGAGAGGGCTGACCATTTCTAAAGCACTGAAAGTGCTACACGAATTGCTTTCAGATAGTGAATCTGATACGGATCCCGGCACATGTGCAAAACATGCAATATTGGGTTGTGCTTTTGCAAAGGTGGTGTCACTTTCTTCGAAAAGTACCACGAGAAAAAAAAATAGACTAATAAAGTGTAAATATGAAATGTAAATATCATATATCCAAGTTACCCTTTTTTTCCCATTCATAAGCATGTAATCATTATATAACCAAAAATGAGCTTTTTACGGGGTGTAGAGTGGCAAGTCTTCCCGTCACACACCCTGGGTAAATGCTAAATCTGCTACGGTGTTCAGAATCTAGTGTTTTTTTATCGTAGGCAACATCTTTTACTCTTTTACGCGCTTCCCAGCAATGCTCGTTTCAGAACTCTTTTCGAAGCTGTATTCAATCACTGTGCCTGCTTCGGGCACACCCACAGAATTAAAACGATTAGTGCTATCTTTACAAAATTTTACTTGTGTACTCTTCTAAACCTAATTAAACTGCCTACCTTTTTTTTTTTTTTTCCGAAATTCCAATTTTAAAAGGTAGCGTGCCGGAACCCACTGGAGCCCGGCTCCGGTACTTCTCAATTTTTAAGATAAATTACAGTTTTAGCCGGAGCGCACCGGAGCCCTAAATAAGATGAACTCTGGTACTTCTTTTTATAAAACTGAGCCACAATTTCAAGAAAAAAAAAATTAAAATTCCTAACGTTTTATTTTAACAATAAGCAGACCGTGCAATACTCTATTTCCCTAGAAATACGAGAACATGAGACGTTCAAGTAAAGTCCCGTCACTCACATGCGATAATCTTTCCCTCTAAGAAGGGCAATAAATCTGGGTGAGTTTGTTGCCATTGTATCTAGTTATCGATGGTTACAGTTAGTTATCTTCGCAGGAAGGAAAATTTGTGTTCTTAAATGTGGCGTTAAGTGACAGCAATAAGAGTGAAATATTGAGATAAACTGCTCAAGCACGTCCTATACATCGTCTTCCCACAGTATGTAACCAAATACGGGTTGGGGATGAAAAGTGTAACCAACAACTTTACATTCATCCTTAGGATTCAGATTCAGGACTTATTTTACCCCTGATACACATCTGCTTGATGACTGTAATTATATCAGCAGAGAGCCGCGGTCAAACAGAACGTTCTCTCTCACCAAAATTCCCCTCATTTTATGCTTCTACCCACTCATACCCTCACGCCCTCATTCAGTTTCGCTCTGCTTTTAGCATTATCTTAATTTTCATCAGCTATACTTTAAGTATATTTAATTTTTGCGATGATAAAAGAACTTTTCCCACCACCATACGATCAGAGCTAAAATTGGACCGGTTCCGGTGCTTCGTAGTTTTTGTAATAAATCATAATTCTAGTCGGAGCCCTAAATAAGAAGCTCTTCCTAAATGCGCTTTTTTTATGTAACTGAATAACGATTTCAGTAGAAATTTTATCTCGAAAATTGTAATTTTAGCGATAAAATTATATTAAAAAACGCCTATTAAATTTAATTTATCTCTTTAAATTTAATTTTAATTATTTAATTACTTTAATCTTTAATTATCGAATTATTTCAAAAAATAATAAATAATTTTCTAATAATTATCAAATAAATTATAATTAATTATATAATAATTATTGATTAAATGACAATTTATAAAGATTAATTAAATAGCTATTAATTAATTTGATAATAATTAACCATTTAATTTTTAAATTATTAATGAGTTTAATAGTCATTTTATTTATTTATTTAATTTTGTTCCTCTTTGCTGGCGAGCTTCCATAGGGCTCCGGCAGTTCTAATTTTAGAAATTAAGCCCTGCATTAGATAACCTTAGTTGCCATAATCCAATAATTCTCAGACTTTTCTCTCTGAAGATCTATAAGGCTAACTTCTATAATATATTTCTATGAAAATGCCGTCTTGGTCAAACCGGTCCCTCTAGCTTTCCTTCTGCACTGCTCTTTTGGTAAAAGGCTAAAAACAAAGTAAAGAAAAAAGAAACTGTAGGAAACACCACGTGACTTCCTTGTACAGCTTGGTTTACCCGAACAGTTTTGGTCATTACAATTTTATTTTTTTCATAACGAGCGTAAAACATTCCGAAATATAAACATAGGTAACAAGAGACTGCATTAAAAGTTAGATTTCGTTATTTTTCCAAAATGAATTTTTTTTTAATTTTGACGTTGTCAGAACATGAATATTTTCATCAATGATAAAACACTTCTGCAACTGGATGTATAACCGACTACGACCAACGACTGCGAAAATAAAAGCCGAGTAAGGGGGAATTATATATATATATCTCTTTCCACAGTTAATCACTTTTGAGTTATACGAAATATGTACAGACGGCACAAGAAAATCCATTTTAAATTCATTTTACAATCCGTTTCGGAAAAAAGGGAGTTCTTTATTCTGTCCGTACGTACAGACGTCGCGCAAAAAAAGTTTTCAAAATGAATATTTCTGCTGAAATATGATATCGAAATTTTTCGCGATTACAAATACTTCCTTTCGTATGGGAAAGTAAAAAGATTTAGCGCTAACGATTCTAACCACAATAGATGGCGCCACGATTACTACTTCCAATAAATTAACACCGGTCGCAATTGTATGTTTAATTTTCGCAGTTTTCTGATGATACGCTGTATATATAAAATGTTATTTTTCATGCATAATCCTTATATTTCATTTTTACTGTTTTCGCCTAAAATTTTTAATTGTTTCAAATTAGAAAACTTAATAGGAAGACAACCTCATCATAGATTGTTCCATTTTTTAAGAGCTATTGCTTTTACCATGCATTGTTATCTATTTTTATTCTCATTTTTATCCAGCCTGAATTGTATGGTAACTGCACACACGCAGTTTTTTACATATTTTTTAATCTTTGCTTCAACCATTGGTTTGGCACAGATAGCCTTGGGCCTGAAATAGTAGAAACAAATTCATTTCTACTGATCCTTAATCTTGATTTAAAATATCATGTAGATGATGATTTTTCTGAATAATTATCCACTCCTTACCACTTTTGTAGCTGAGTTAAGCATTTTATAAATATAAATGAATTTTTTGTTTGTTATTTCTGCTTTTTATTTTTAATTTCAATTAAAAATTTTGTTTCAGGACACCCACAATGGCTGGTGGCTTGTTTTCAATTGATAAAGAATATTTTGAAAAAATTGGAAAATATGATGAAGGCATGGATATTTGGGGTGGTGAAAATCTGGAATTATCTTTTAGGGTAACCTTTCTTTTTCTTTTAAAAATTAAATGTTTATCTTGTATTTTAATTTTTACAGATGCTATTGTAAGAACTCTTGACATCATATGATTTGTTAAAAGCCATAATAAAAACAATTTTATTATGTTCAATACACATACATATATTTATATATTGAAAAATAACATATTTTTATATTGTATATTTGAATATGTAAAAATAATTAATATATACAAATGTGTATAGATATAAATATACAGTTCATTAGCAATTATTTAGAAAGTTCAAAATTTTAACAATACAGCATTTACATTTTTAATTACTTTTGATAAATGCAGGACATTCTAGCTGAAAAAAAAAACAGATAAATAAAAATTTTTTCAGCAGAAACTATTTTCGAGTTAACATTCAAATATATTGTATCAAACACTGCTAGAAGTACTCAGTTTAAAATGCAGTGCAGTATATTTTATTTCTACCATTTTCAGACCAATTTAATCAAATTCTTACTTTTTCAGAATTTCCAGTAGGTAGAATTGGCATAGTCTTTCATCATTTTAATTCTTTTAATGTTATTTATTGTTTATTACCTTTTGCCGTAGAATATTTTTGATAGACTAATATTTTATGCACTTTTACAGATTTGGATGTGTGGTGGAACTTTAGAGATAGTAACATGTTCACATGTGGGACATGTATTTAGAAAGTCAACACCTTATACATTTCCTGGTGGTACTAGTAAGATTGTAAATCATAATAATGCTAGACTTGCTGAAGTCTGGCTTGATGAATGGAAGGATTTTTTCTATGCTATCAATCCTGGTAAGTTATTGAAATTTCTTATACAGTACAAAGTCCGAAATCCAGACTTGTCAGGACTTCAGAGATTCCGGATTTGGGAGTTTTCTGGATAATAGATCATCAATTTAAATCTGGTAAGATGGCATGCAGAAATTATGCAATTAAAAATATGAAATCATAATTTATGAAATAAAGAACAATTATGATCTAAAGGGTATCAGAATTTACAAAAAAGCTTAATATTTATTTGGTTACTTTATTAAACATTTCTTTCAACGTAAGTTGTTTAAGATGCTTGCACAAAAATTCAAAAAGCTCCTTTTTCTTGTGTCCTATACAGTGGACTTTCCAATGCCATACTCCTCGCATAATTTTGAGATGGCTATACCTTTATCCATTTTTTGCAGCAATTCCACTTTTTGCTTAATGGACTTCGAAACATGGTTTCGCTTTGTAGATCCTTTGGAAAGTCTTTTCGACATAATCGAAAGTTCATTCAGGCTTTAGTTTTTATAAAATTGCTGTAATAATAACAGTCTACAAAAAATAATAACCTGGATCAAATTAGAAGAATCAGGGAGCAGCGCAGTCTGCTACATTAATTGAAATGCCTTAGAATCAGTAAAGATAATTTTAGCCTAGCTTAATAGCGTCCATTATATATTATCGGCTATGTATCCATAGACTCCAACTACTACGGATTCTCCGTAGTTTCTACGGAAATTCATGAAAAACTACGAGCTACGAAAAGTATGGAAAAAACTACGGATTTTACAGAAACAAGAGCAGGAGAACCAGTACGCAAAACGGAACCAACTAATTCATCCGATGATTGGCTGAATACTCGTGTTATCATATATCACGTGTTGAGTGCATTCCTAGTTTTCAAGAATTAGCCAATCATAGATCAGTAACTCCAACCGTTAACGACTTATCAATAGTTCCACCCAATTGTCTGTCTCCCAGGTTCCTCGCTGATGCGTGTTTAGGCTGCATTGTATAGTTTACGGCGAGAGCTTAGCGTGTGTCTTGTGAACTGTGAATCAGGTGAAAGATTTTTAATCATAATGCTGCCTCGAACGAAGAAGCCAAAATTATCAAAGCAGAAGTTTAAAGATTCATATTCTTCAGAATTTCCATGCATTAAAGCGTCCGAAATTTCTGTGAATCACGCACACTGCAAAAGCCGAATGCTATTTTGTTCGTTTTTTAATTGAACATAATCTACCGCTTTCTGTTTCGGATCATTCCAAAGAGCTTTTCAAAGCAATGTTTCCGGATTCTGCCATAGCAAAAAAATTTAGCTGCGGTCATACCAAAACTTCTGCTATTGTGAAAACGCTTGCAGAAAATACTGTTGCTGATATTATAAAATCAGTGTGCAGTACATCATTTTCTCTAAGTACTGATGGAAGTAATGATAACAATGATAACAAACTGTACCCATTGGTTATAACATACTACAGTAAAGAAAAGGGAGTGATAATTACTTCATTGATTTCTATTTTAGAATGCACTAATAATACGGAGAAGTATTTTTAATTGTATAAATGAAAACTTTAAAAACAAAGGTTTAGAATGGAAAATTGCTTATCATTTTCTTCAGATAATGCTAGTAATATGATTGGAAAGTTTAAAGGTGTAGCATCATTTATCAAAATGCATCAACCAAGTATAATCACCCGAGGTTGTCCGTGCCACCTCTTGCATATAGCTGCAAAAAAAGCTTACTGAAAATTAATTGGCTCAGAAATTTAAATGTTGATAATAGATATATATTTTACTTGGAGAAAAGTTCGAAACGGAAGCATAGCTTCAAAGTTGCTCAACAAATTTTGGGACAGAATGCAAAATCTCATAAAATTTTGAAATATTGCAGTACGAGATGGTTGTCTCTTTTAGAATCTATAACAAGGATTTTGGAACAGTGGGATGCTGTGATAAATTTTTTTGGAGATAAACCAGATAACAGTGAGAATGAAGGAAAGAGATTGGCAAAAACATTAAAATAATTTTACAGTCACCGACCACCAAATTGTACTTGTTATTTTTGAAAAATACTTTGCCTTTGTTTATAACAGTAAATATTAATTTGCAACAACAAGCTCCTTATATACATAAATTGAGAAGAGAACTTTTTGAACTTTTAATGAATTTATTTGTTAGATTCGTAAAACCATCAGTAATTTCTAAAGAAAATGAAGATGTTACTCTAACGTCTATTCCATTTCAGAAGTATAGTAAACAAAAAGAAAATGAAAATTTAGTGATTGGTGCGGAAACAAGACTATATTTAAAAAATGCCAAGTTGAATGAAAGTGAAGTGAAATCATTTTTCAATTCTGTGCGAGCTCTTTTTGTAACTGCATGTTCATATATAATTGATAAATTTCCACTGAGTGATCCATTTCTAAAACATGCTGAGTTTGCTGACATCAACTTGAGAACTGAAGTCTCATTTCATCTGTTCTTTACTTGATGAATACTTTTCCATCCATATTGATGAAAAAATGTCTTAATCAAGTAGAAATTGAATTTCCATGTATCAAGTAGATGATTTGAAAGAAATCGTAGATTTGCGTATTGATATAGCATGGGGAGAAATTGCCAAATTAAAAAAATATGAATGGGTGTATTAAATACAAAGTATTGGCCTTCTGTAATGCTTGCTGTCTTAATAATACCTCATTCAAATGCAGCTTGCGAAAGAATTTTTTCTATTGTTAAAAAAAATCAGACAGAATTTCGACCAAATTTAGGTCTTAAAACTCTTGAAGCAGTTTTGATTGAAAAAATAAATATGCAGGCAAATGAAGAACTGTGTTAAAAAAAACATTCTCAAAATCAGAACTTAAGCTTGCTAAGCATGCTACATATAAATCTTTGCATTCATAAATTATGCGTATTTTGTTTAATACTTATATGTATCATTCTTGGTTTTAAATTTTATTTCCCTGTAGAAATCATATCCAGAATAAAGATATGATTTATAGCTTCTGATTTTTCTATGATTAGTAGTGATTTGAAGTACTTTTTATTAGTGAATGCTGAGGAGTTAAAGAAAATTTTCTAATTAAATGTGCATATAATTTACAAGGTATATTTTTAATTATTCAGTTTTATATGTATATGGATTTTAAATGTAATAAAATTGCTTACAATTAATTATTAATTTAAAATTAATGAATGGTTAATTACAACATACGCTACGTGCACATTTTCAAAGTTGTAAAAATGTCGTTCGCGCGTTGACTACTGACAAGGTTTGCTGAAGGTTGGAGTCTATGTGTATCATAAGATTGGCAATGAAAGCCAAGTTGTTTAGCTAAATTTTGTCTTGCTCCTATTGCGTACTGAATAAATCCTGGATTGTGAATTAGTTGTTTACTATACCTACATTTATTTTTTGCACATGCTTCAAACTACTCCGAGTCCTGAATAAATAAACTCCCACATATACTTAAGGCTTTATCAAGGGCCGCCACTCGATACTGCCTGGTGCAGTCTCTACATTTCTAGGGGTCCTAAATTCTGCTACCAAGCACTTTCTTAAGTTCTAAATTTTCACTGCACCTAAAGTTTGGATCCCACTGCTTTCCTAAATCATAAAAACTTCTCATCCCTTAATTTTGCCACTCGGTGCTTCCCCAAATTCCAAAAATTTCATCTTCCTTAAATTCTGCCGTCCGGTGCCGCTTCTGGGTTTATGATGAATAACATATCAGTTATTCTTAATTAAAATAGCACTAAATGTAATCTTTTGGCCTATGAGTTTCATTAACAAAATCTATTTTTAGCATATAAAAGGAAATTTTTGTTGAATTTTTTTTCTCATCAACATTTCTTAGAGCATTTAAAAATCTATATTCATCCCCAAGCGTAATGTTAGCATAAAAGGTTGGCATACTCTTTTTATTCAATTACTAATATAAAAAAGTTTAGACATCACAGCATGAGTTATTATTGAAGCTGTCATGTATTGATAACAAGCAAAATATAATAAATAATGATTCACCAGGTCGGCGTCAGAGATATAAATTAGGTGAATTTTTCTGTTTGAGATGTATGCCAAGCGGACACTCAGCTACGAACCAAATTATTAATCTCGCAAATATATGCTTACATGATTGTTTTTCCATAATGAGGCTAAGTGAAATTAAGAATCGGAATTTTTTAAGTGAAAATCTCCACATGTTTTATTACGGAAGGAAAAATCAAATGCGCATGCATAATGCATTAATAAAAAAAAATGTTTGTGTCTTTGATGTTCGGATTTTAGATCATTCCGGATAATGGACGTCCGGATTTCGGACTTTGTACTGTACTCAAAAAAAGAAAACAGGTGAGCTGTAAATACACTTTTTCTCCAGACTAAGCTAAGATTCGTGCATGTCACAAGCAAACACCTGCTGGCTAGGAAGTGGCACTGTGCCCAATGACAGTGCATCGATTGACCTTGTGTTCATGTTGGCCAGGATTAGACATTTGGCCCTTGAGTAGTGTTAGCACTTTTCTATTTTACCTAAACAATAAGCTCCAATGTTGCTTTAGGTTACATGTCATCTTATTAGTTTTAAACTATGATTTTAAACTAAAATTTCCGACATCCAGGATCTTAGGGGATTCCAGATTTTAAATCATCAATTTTATTCTATAAGATGGCATGTAAAAATTATAAAATTACGTTTTTTTTTTTTTTAAAAAAGGTAGTTTGCATGAAGAAAGTTACTATTAATAACCATCATGTTAAATTTAAAATATGAATGACAATCATATCAAGATTTGAAACATGCTACAGATATTTGCCATTCCGTCTGCTATTGATGACTGAGACATTATCATGACATTTTATACCTATTTATATATATAAATATATTCAAAAACCTTTGGATGCATTATTGTCACGAAATTTAATAGCTGGCTTATATGCCAAGCTTTTTTTAAATTTCTGCAAACATGTTGTGTCATAATCTTCCAGCGCCCCATGTATTAGATTCTGCAATCAAATATTTTTAGAATTATTGGGTGGTTTTCCTGCTGCATCAGTTTTTAAAAAGCTACTTTATATCTGCAATCCAATGCATACAAAATGCCAATATCCATTGGCTTATTGCCAGATGTACAATTTCAGGAGGAAAATAAAATGGAGAAATTATAATTTACTGAAATTGTAATTTTGATAAGATTAAAAAATAATAGAACAAAATAATGCACTTCTTCAAATCTGGAAGTTAGGGAGGAGCCCAGTTTGCTATCATAACTGAAGTTTCTTGAAATGTAATTCTTTTTCCCTCTACTATGTCAAAAAAAAGAAAACCAGTGTAAGTAGCATTCTACCTCAAACAAATATGTATTGAGGAGCTTCACTTGCTTAAGTCAGATAGAAAAAGCTAACCTTTCCCCAGCCTTACAACCATCCACGGACCAAAAGTGTGGTCATTGTCACTAGAATGTTAATAAGTGAATTGTCAATAGCCCTGGTGTGATTCCATAGCCAGCTAGTGTTTGAAAGTGGCATACAGGAATCTCAATTAGTTTGTGAAAGAAGTCATGTTTATGATTTATGACATGTCTGCTTTTTCTTTAGTATTATATTCTCCATTCGTTCCTAAACGTTCCTTCATCTCCATTCATTCCTAAAAATTTTATAGTGGACTTGACGTCGGGATTTCAGACTTTGTACTGTATGTATTCACACATGAAACATAAATATATGAATTAATTAGCACATATTATGAAATACACATGTATGAATTCATATATGAAGCTCACATATGGTGGCGGCTCGTGGCTAAAATTAGTGGGGGTGCTGTTCCAAAAAAAATTTAACCTTCTTTTTAAAATTGTGTAAAAGGAAACAAACATGTATAAAAAGAAAATTTATTTTGAAACTTCATGAAATCTTACAAGAAAAAAATTAAACATTTCTTAATTACTTTAACCAAAATTGTTACAGTTCAATCTTTGTCTATTCATTTAAAAATGAAGCCCACCAGCGGCCGAGCGGTAACGTCGCTGAACACTGGTAATTCGGTCTGAGGTTCAAATACTGCAAACGGGCTGGCCGCATGGGTGTTTTCCGTGGTTTTCCCCATGTGTAACATGTATACGAGTCAGTTTCCGTTAAAAAGTCTTCCACGAAGGCATCCCTCCCTCAAGGCAGATAGCCCTCGAGTGTTTTGCCGTAATCTAATAAACCAAACCATTTAAAAATGAAATCCATTCTTTTAGTTTTAATTTGCCTGAGAAGATCAATAATTTTCTCCTTGCTCTCTGGATGACAACTAAGGAAATTTTTCTTTATTGAAAGCAATGCAAGCGCATTTATTCTTTCTGAATTCCTAGTGCTTCTTAGAAAAGTTTTCATTCTTTTCAGTGTTGAAAAGCAGCGTTCTGCCTCTGATGTAGTCATGGGAACTCTCAAGAGAATTTTTATCAGTTTCGTAATTTCACTAAGAACATCATCTTAATTATTTTCGAAGATAAATTTCAGTAGCTCAATTAATTTGCAGTATTTATGGATATCAGACCTACAATAGAATACTTTTAATTCAGTTTCAAGCTCTTCTTTGTCAATCATTGAATATGCTTCAGTGGTCAGTACTATTTTTTCTGTAGAATGTTCATTTCTAAAACTAAGCATTTCTTGTTAAACAATTTCTAAATAGCAGTTTTGAAATTTGTTATATATTCATTAACTTTAAACACACTAATTTCTCTGTATTACATTTGGTTGTATATTATTTCAACATGAGGCATCTTATAAAAAAGCTCTAACCCAAACTTGAAATTATCATCATTTAGATATTTTAAAATTCCTGTTGCTTTTGCAATAGTTTGATCTGCATTTGATGTTGACTGAATTTTAGTAATGCAATTTTTTAAAAGTTGCAAATTTTCATGAACTCTGTTTATGGTCCGTATGTTGAAGTTCCACCTTGTGGAGGAATACCACATGCGCGGAGTAAAAAGAAATCACGTTTTCAACAACATGCCAGAATTTCGGCACTGCAGGAGCGGCAGTGCTCTCTCTCTACCCGGCTCTGCTTTCTGTGTGCGCATGCGCAGAACAGCCAAATGCCATGTCGCTGGAACTGTGAAGCACGCAGTTCCAACCAAAGACTCTCGTACCTTTTTCACAAACTGGGGGATGGCTACTGACATTAAGCTTAAGGATTATGTATAGTAATTTGTAAAAGTATAAAGAAAGAAATTAAAGACTAAAGAGCACACTATATTAAATATTAAAAATAATAATAAGTGGAAATAGGGGATGCTGCAGTTCCACAGTGCTTATTACGAGCCGCCACTGCTCACATATATGAATTAGTTACCTCTGAATTTTAAACTTTTCTGAGAGATGAGAGCATAATAAATTTATTTAATGGTCAAAAGATTTATGAATAAAAAAAAATTTTTTTTTAAAGGCTAGTTTAGACTAGCTATACATTTGAACTTCAAAATCTCCCTAGGACTAACATATGCAGTCTATCCATATGTAGTTCCACTCAATTTCTGTCCAACCATTTCTGAAGTCAAATTCTGGTAATTTGTCATTAGTTCATTAGTGTTTTGGTGTAGGTGTGAATGTCCCTTATAAAGAAGTCAGAAATCTCTTAAAACAGTGCACACAATATTGGTCACAAAATTCCTTAGTAAATAAACATAAAATGGAACATTTCTTATATAAATGGTTTTATGTTAGGTTTGTGCAAGTGTTCATCTGTAGCTTTAATTGAAAAATCAGTAACATATGGGAAATTTAAATAGCTTTGTAAAAGTTTAAGATAATTATAAACTGAAAATTATTTTTTGTAACCCATGAGAGATTATTATTAAATGTCAAAGTAAATAGGTTAAATGTATCTGAATCTCTTACTTTTGATATAATGATTTAAAGAACATTTGTATGCAATGCCACTGTAATGGTAAAATATGATAAAAGTAACTGATGTTGCATTTAATAGTAATAATATAAATCTGTGATTATTATGCAAATTTGGGCCAAAATTTTAAATACAGTATGCTGAACTAATATCAGTATTTCACCCATTTCAAACTTCAGGGTCTGAATATTTCTGAGCAGTGTTTATGTCTTTACATTTGTAGTATTTGTGATTAAAATTTTAATTCTTGCAATCTTTCTGTTTAGTTGCTAAAAAGGTTGCTGCTGGCAATGTCACTGAAAGGAAAGAACTTCGAAAAAATTTGGGTTGTAAATCTTTCAGGTGGTATTTGGAAAACATCTATCCTGAATCCCAAATGCCTTTAGATTACTATCATCTTGGTGAAGTAAGTTTTGTTTTTGGAAATATATTTTTAAAAAACATTAATGTAACTTGGTTTTATTTAATGTGAAACTAATTTGGAAAATTGAAAAGTGTTTGTCTTCACTGAACTGATAGTTAAAACATGGAGTATGCTATTTAAGTAACTTTTAATTCCCAGATAAATATATTTATTATTATCCATGATATTTTAGTTCTGTCTTATTTCATTGTGATAAAATTCTCTTCAATTTATAATCTTTTATACTCCTGAACTTGAATTTGTGTCAATTCTGTTCCTTGCATTTGGGGAATTTAAATAAACTATAATGCTTATCTTAATTATTTACAGATTTCATGCATTGAGTAATTATTATTGTTATATATTTATTAAAATGTGTTTATTTAAACTGTTGCTATAAATGATCAAGTCAAATTTTGGAAGAAAAAACAGAATTTCTTCAACAGCATTTGATAAATGTGCATCCTCTTCCTTCATACTTTTATCTCTTCTCTTTTGAAGAAATTATATAGCTTCAATTATTTAAAATAAGCATTTTTAAGAATTAAAATCTGCAGTTCCTGTTTCTGAACATATATGTTGATTTTGATAGAAAATTCCACGTGGCCATCATTGAATGGTGTAAAGTCTAATTTTATAGAAATGGAATTCTAAAGTATGATTTTATTTTTCCTGCTCTTATCTTTCCTTGGAAAGTTTCAAAAATTTGCTAAATTATTTTGATCTGATTTTTAGGAAAGTTATGATGATTTATGTGTATAACGATAGAATAATTCAAATCATAAGTTTTCTTTTATTTCTTAGTTTTGGGCAATTTGGTAGTGTTGGATATTAATTTTTTTATTATTTATCATTGTAGATAAGGAACGAAGTAACAAATAAATGTCTAGACACATATAACAGGAAAAATGGAGAAAATGTGGCTGTCAGCCAGTGTCATGGGATGGGAGGAAATCAGGTAATTGAAATGTAATCTGTTTTAGCTGTAATTAATGAAACACTGTATTTGTCTTCTATGCAATTTGATTTTATCTCTGTATTGTCTGCCTATATGTTATATATTAAAATTTAAAAAGAGAATAATTAAATATTATTCTTTCTTCATGCAATATATCATTTAAAGTTAGTGATAAATTCCTCAAAATTTTGTCATATTTCAATTCAATTAATTTTACAAAAAAGTTCATCTTGAAATTTCTTTCAAAAAACTTCATGCCGTTTCATGTTTGTTTTAACCCCTTAACTGCCACGGGCTACATATACACCTTGCTCAGCCAATGCATTAACTGCCCCGGGCGCATATATATATATATTTGCTCTTCCGAAATGCTATCATTTGCTTTGTGCTGCTACCAGTAAAATTATTCACAAAACTTTGGAACGCAACACCACAATGACCTTAACAGAGTATGCAAAGGAGGATGCTATTTCAGAGAAAGGGGGGAAGACCTGAAGAGGGGGATTTTTCTGAAACCGTGAAAGAAAAATTATTTGTGTTGTGAGACTATTAATTTTAGTTGATGACTGGTTTGATGACTTTTGCAATTATGCTTATCAGTGTTTTTAAAGTATCTTACATTGTGCTAGAGATATGTGTTTTCAAAGTACCTTATGTTGTACTAGAGATATTTCTTTCATATATTTAGTTTTTTTAAATGTAAAATCTTGAATTTGATTATATTGCAGTCCAATTTCAGTTTGTATGACTAGAAAATATATAGTACTACACAAGTTTCATAATGTATTTGTATATCTTAAAATGCAAGTTATTAAATAATCGTTAGTTTGGGGATATTTTAATGATTTTATTTTGTGTATGCCTTTTTTGACAGGTATTTGCATATACTAAGCGAAAACAAATAATGTCAGACGATAATTGTTTGGACGCATCATCTCAAAGAGGTCCTGTCAAGTTAGTTCGCTGTCATGGCATGGGTGGAAACCAGCAATGGGAGTATGATGAAGAAGTAAGATTATTATATTTATTTTAACATATTGTTGCGTGTGTACGGCTTCGTTAGGAAATGAATGCACAAGTCTGATGAAAACTGAACAAAAATTTATTATTATCACAACAAAAATGCTTAAATTTTCTCAAATGATCATGCAGTATTACAATATCTCACAGTAGTTATCTTTTAAACTACTCAAATGTCCAATAGAACGTAATTCAAAACAGCTAAAGAACGCTAATCCGCGAATTCGCTACAATCAACAAGAGCAGTTTTCTAAACAACACACAAACTAAGCAACTACTACGAACTGAGAGGTTTTCCTCCTTTTATAAGATTTTAAATCACGCGCTAGAATTTTCTAGTACTTTCTCGAAATCAAAAGTGTGTGTGTGTTGTTGATTATGGCAAAGCCTCAAGGGCTATCCCTAAGGGAAGGGATGCCTTCATGGAGGACTTTCTAAGGGAAACTGGCTCGTATACACATGGGGGTAACCACGAAAACGCCTATGCAGCCAGCCTGTTCGTGGGATTCGAACCTCGGACCGAACTACCAGTGTTCAGCGACTTTACCGCCTCGGCCGCTGGTGGGCCGAAATCAAAAAGAGATATTTATTTATGTAATGCACGCGCTCTTGTATTTTCAATTTTCCGGCTTAGCTTTCTTTTAATATTCATCACGCGCTGCACTGTGCGAGAAATAAAACCATTTAATTTATAATTGAACTAACATTAGCTTTTTAAATACCAAATTCGTAACACTGCCCCCTTCCCAAGGACTACACGTCCCGGGCAGTACAATCCATGGACAGAAAGCCAAACTTACAACTGTGGCATAAATGCATTAATAAGCATTACATTACAATAATAAACAACATGAACAATAAATGCAATAATATTAATGATATGGTCATTAATTTGTTCCGTTTCCTGCGTCGTTGCTGAGAAATGGTCTCAATTTCTGTAACCTGGGGTGTTCTGCAATTCTTTCGTACGTGGCCTTCAGATCCACAGTTCTAGCACTTCTGTTTCTTGTCAATCTTTTTCTGTTCCATAGTATTTAATTGTCTATTTAGCCCACCTCTCTTTGTTCTGGGGTGTTCTGCAGTTCCTTCGTATGTGGCTTTCAACACCGCAGTTCCAGCACTTTAGGCTTGGTTTCTTCTCACCAATATTCCGTCTCAAGGCATTCACTGGTCTTGTCAAATCATCCGTTTTATTATCCGTGCCCTGGGGTTTTCTGCATTGCTGTCGTACATGCCCTTCAGTACCACATTTCCAACACCTTAGAGCCACTTTGTTCTCACTCCTACTCCGTATCAAATTGTCAACTAGTCTGGATAAATCATCTAAATGAGCCATCAATTGATCCACTGGCTCGTGGACTCGCACAGCTCTGACTGGGTAGCAATTTCTACGACTGTTGCTGTGACTTTCTACGACTGTTGACTTCTGCTTGCTGGGCTGCCTCGAACTTCATAGCGTACAACATTGCGTTTTTCAAATCTTTAACATCTGCCATTTGCAGTGCTTTCTGTATTTCAGGGTCCCGGATGCCATCGATGAAATATTGCAGCGACAGGATTTCTCGTTTCTGTCGGACACTCCGAAAAGGCATGATGTGACAACCTTTCAACATCCGTGGCGAGCTCCTGAAGTGTTTCGGTGGGCTTCTGCTGATGGGATTTTAGTTGAAGCCTGCTGTAGTCTTTTAAACAACATTCTCTCCCAAAGCGCAGCTCCAATGCGCCGGATAGAGCTTCGAAGTCTAATCTCTGGTTTACAGGAAGCGTCTGCAGGATATCCGCTGCGTCTGCTCTCAGAGAAGCGGCGAGATGACAGGCCTTAGCTTGGGAATCCCATCCATTCGCTTCCGCCACTATAGAAAATTGCGTCTTATATACTTGCCAGGAGGTCTTCCCATCATATGTGGATAGCTTCAGAGGTGAACGAGCAGGCATCGATAAAAATTTAAAACCATCTGAAGTGCTCCCTTCCGTCGCTACGAATTTCTTTAAAGTGTCAACATCTTTGGCAGCGACAGCAGAAATTCTGTCTTCGATTTGTTGTTCAATATGTCCTTGGATGGCAGAAACTCTTTCTTCAATTTGTTGTTAGAAGGCCGAATCTCTTCCTTCAACTAGTTGCTCCACAGCCGACACTCTATCTTCTATTTCATCTTTGACAGAAGAAACCTTTTCTTCAATTTGCCCGACTTTATTTTCAACAGCTCCTATTCTGTCTTCCATAGCCTCAAATTTGTTTCCATTACGCAGGTTATTTCTCTTTCATTTCATTCTTGACCTGCTTCTTTCTTCAATCTTTACTTGTACGGCTTTTATGTCTTCTTAAAAGTTACTTGACCAGCTTCCATCTTTCCTTAACGGCTTCCATTTCCTTTTAACGATTATCTCTTCTTTAAACGAGGTAAAGGCTGATATCAACTGCCTTAATTGCTCTTCCATCGCTCTTGTTATTGGCATTCAAATCCCACTTCTGACACCAAAAATTGTTGCGTGTGTACAGGTTCGTTACGAAATGAATGCACAAGTCCGATGAAAAATTAACAAAAATTTATTATTATCACAACAAAAATGCTTCAATTTTTTCAAATTATCATGCAGTATTACAATATCTCACAGTAGTTATCTTTTAACTACTCAAATGTCCAATAGAACGTAATTCAAAACAGCTAAAGAACGCTAATCCGCGAATTCGCTACAACAATCAACAAGAGCAGTTTTCTAAACAACAACAAACTAAGCAACTACTGACTACTGAGAGGTTTTCCTCCTTTTATAAGATTTTAAAATCACGCGCTAGAATTTTCCAGTACTTTCTCGAAATCAAAAAGAGATATTTATTTATTTTAATGCACGCACGCGCTCTTGTATTTTCAATTTTCCTGCTTAGCTTTCTTTTAATATTCGTCACGCGCTGCACTGCGCGAGAAATAAAACCATTTAATTTATAATTGAACTAACATTAGCTTTTTAATACCAATTCATAATATTTTACAATAATTTTTTTCTTCCATACTTACTATTATATGAAGTGGAATTTTTTTATAATAAGATGAAATAAAAGTTGTCATGTTTGCCACACTTTTTGATATATTGTCAAACTATAATTGCTTAGTAGTTTTTAGGAGCAATTTACAGTGATAAATTTCAGTTAATATTGACATAACTATATTCATTGTTCATTACATAAACATTATGTTAAACATATTCATGTTTAACTTATAGGCTGTACAATTCCTAGCCTATTTCTCTTTGCCATCTGATGAAATTCTGAAAGCATAAATAAGTGTATAGCTGATATTATAGCATTAATTGGAAACAAATATTTTAATAATTTATGTATAATATTTATAGATATATAAGAGGGTCTCATATGAATTTAGTGTTTTGAAAGCATTCTACTAGAAAGGTAATTAAAATAGCCTAAATAACATAGCTTGAAATAAAATAAAAATTTTGTGCATTGAGTTTTTCAGATTCAAAAGGATTGCAAAAATTTTTCATAAAATCAAATATACAGATGGAGGCCAAAATAATACGAACACCTGTGAAATAATGGAAAATTTTTATTAATAAGGGGTTGGACCACCTTTTGACTGAAGTACAGATTCAGTGCGACATGGGATAGATGCATAAAGGTCATTGAAATATTTAAAGGAATATTAAGCCATTTCTCCTACAGAGCGTTTTCTAATTCCGAAAGTCCGGATGAAGGTGGAAATCGGGAACTAAGTTTGGACTTCAAATATGCCCATAAATGTTCGATAATATTCAAGTCCGGAGACTGAGGGGGCCAAGTGAGATGTTCAATTGCATCGTCATGCTCTTCGAACCATTCTTAAATACACCTAGCAGTGTGGATAGGGGCTTTGTTGTCTTGAAAAAGCAGTCGCTCCCCAGGGAATACAGTCTGGACAAAAAGGATGGACATGATCCTCTACAATGCTTAGATAGTGATTGGATGAGATCCTCCTATGCAGAATAACAAGTGGCCCAAGACCGCACCAAGATATCGTACTCCATACCATAATGGTGCCACCCCCATGCTTCACAGTCGGCAAGAGACAGTCAGGATGAAATGCTTCTTTGGTCATTCTACAGACATAAACACGTCCGGTCGTCTGAAATAGGGTGAATGACAATTCATCTGACCATATTACTTTATTGCCACTACTGTGGGGGCCAGCCTTTGTGATATCTACCCAATTGACGTCGCTTGAAAGCATTAGTTGCTGACACCAGGGGTTTACGAATTGCCACTCTGCCATAAATTTTCGTAGCATGAAGTTCCCTTTTGACAGTTTTTGTTGAAACAGGGTCCTAGAGATGACTGATCTCTGATAATGATTGCTTGTGCTTTCAGGCTACTATGTGCTTCAAGACCCGTCTATCCCTATCAGTCAGCTTTGACTTTTGACCGCTCTTGATGGTTTGAAGACGTCGTCTTACCATCTTTCGTGTACGCTGCCATAACGGCTGATACCGTACTCCTTGCACATCCACAAGGTTTGCTGTTTCCGTAACTGATGCTCCACTTAAATGTACTCCAATTATCATTCTTCTTTGGAACTCTGACAGGTCTGACAACTCAACTTTTCACAGACAGTTCGACCGAAGCCTGCAACGTAGGTGACCGCTGTTGAGAGACTGATACCTTCCTCATCATGCTCACTAGGTGTCAGACTTCTGTTGCAGGTGGCTTACAGGTGTTCTCATTATTTTGTCCTCCATCTGTATGTAGTTGGGAATACCATAAAATGATCAGAACTTTTTCAAAACCTATATCGTAGTATTTAAGTGTTATTAGGTTATAAATTGGAAGTTCTTACTAATGCAAATCCATTTCATAATTTTTTAATATTCATGCCTTATGTGTATTATGATGGGCATGATTTTCAGGAAAATATTTCAAGGTCAAAAATTATATTTTTACCAGTATGATAATACCATCATTAGTAAATGACCTGGGCATAAATTTTATTTTCTGAAATTAACAAATATTTTTTATTTAAAATTTTTATATATAAAGAGCTCCCACACACAGTATATTGAAAAAAATTATGTGGGAAATATCATATTTACACATGTATTTTTCTTATTTTTCCTACTGATTTAACCATTTGAAATTTGGGACATAGAAAATACATGTGTATACTATTTCTGAACATAGCACAATAAAAAAACACACACAAATGATAAACATAGCACAATAAAAAAAACACGTAAAGACACACAAATATTATTTGTTATATTATGTATTTCAAGACTTATCGGTTTCAATAATATTTTTTTACTTATACAAAATACTTTCCTATTTGCATTTACATTTTGATCATTACCACAGAGTAATCATCAAAAGTTTCTAAAATATATGCTGGAAAAAACTAAGGAGAGAATTATGAGAGTAAATAGGTAATGGATATTTTAGAAATTAGCTCTGTTGCAGATATATCAAACTTGAAGCATGTACATATGTAGGTTATATTTTAATAATAATAATTTTTATTTTATTTAAGTACTAACTGTTATTATACCTATTAAATATCTAATTAGTTAAAAAAGAAATAATTACAATAAATTATCACATAATAATGCAGTACCACTAACGCCACTTCATTTGTTTTGTTTTCATCTTTTCTTACCACCAGCAATTACTATATAACATTTTGTTAATATATTAACTTTTGTGCTAATTCTTTCTTTGAAAAAGTAAACATAATCCTTATTTCTGGTGTATTATGTTAAATCACAAACATATGTGTACTTGAAGTTTTTCCTTATATATGTTAGCAAATAAATAATAGATTTGCTAGTATTAGATTATACTTATCCATAGTATGTAATTATTGCAATAAAAGTACTGAAGTGCTTATGGATATTTTCACAGACCAACTTCTAATTAATGTAATAGGGGGGTTAAAGCAGGGTTTGATATAGATTATATTCTCATAATTAAATGCAAAATTGAAGTATCGTGAATATAAAACTAAAATGCTTTTATAAATCAAATGAATTGTATCACAAATGAAATATACTTAATGTATCAAAATTTGAATCATTAATGTAGAAGTAATTGATCATTTGCAATTCTCTGTTTAATTAAATTATTGTTAATGTTTTCTACCATTTTAAGGAAAAAACGATTAGGCATGTAAACACTGGAAAATGCTTGGACAAGCCAGAGGATAAAGATCCAACCCTACCTGTGCTAAAAGACTGTGATGGTAGGATGTCACAAGTATGGATTATGAAAGGCAAATTTAAATGGCAAGTGTCATAAATATAACAAAAGAGAATAGTGAACTTTTGCATTTGAACAAATTGAACACTTATGTGCTATATTGTGTATGATTTCTCTACCTTGAAGTTCCTTCAAAATAGACTTCTAATCAAGGAGAAATAAGACCGTAACTACATTCCAGTGTCACATAAGAATACAATCTGAAAGAGATATTGAGATTTCTTGTGTATAATTTCATAGTTCCTTGTGCTTGATTATGTTCCAAAAATGTATAGTGTTAAATTTTTTATTTATTTTAATATAATTTATTTAAACTTTATAGGTTTTGATTTGTAATTAGTAAACAAACATTCCTCTTGGTATATTTTAGATGCATAATTTTAATGAAAATCAATTATTTATTCCATTTAACATTATGAACTTGATAAAAATTTGATTATCAAGTTCGTCAAATGTGGTGTCAAAGGACAATTTACTGCCTATTGGGCAAATGTTAATAAGTATATATTTCTTCATAGTCGCATTGTTGCCCTAAATCATGGTGCCAATGATAGGCATTAAAAATTGTGATATAAGTGTTTTTCTTCTGAAATTTTTGTCCAATCCAAATTTTTTTGTAAATTCAAAATGCTTTGTAATTTAAAAATCCAGAGTTACTAAGCTGTAGAAAATTATACAAGCTGTAAAATATCTGCAAAATAAAAAGTCTTACTTTTTATAACATTTGTGGTAAATAATTCTTTGATGTTAAATTACATTCTTTGAAAAATAAAGCAAGTTGCTTCTTTATATATACTAAAAAGCCAAAACATTATGACCATCCCCACATTCTTCAGTGAACTTGTCTACTGCTGCTGGAGAAGGTAAGGAATCATTCTTGCAAGTGATTGATCTAAGCAAATTAAATAGAGGGTGGATTGTAATGGCCCGAAGATTCGAGTATCTCCAAACTGCACGACTGGTATGTTGTTCATGAACTGCCATTGTTATTATTTATGCAAATTGAATAAATGACTGTCAAACCAGCAGTATATGCCATTGTGTTGGACATGCATACGTCATCAAAGAAAAAGATCATCGGAGACTTTTTTACTTGGTACAGAAATATTGCAAAGTGGATAAATGTAGGTGAAACCAGCAGTAAATGCCAAGGTGTTCGACATCCACGCACCATCAAAGAAAAAGGACATCGGAGACTGTCCCGCTTGGTACAGCAAAATCGACACTAGTTAGTTGCTGATAGCTAAATACAGTGTAGGTCGAAGTGCAAGCATTTTGGAACACACAGTTCAGCAGACACTGTTGGATATGGAACTGCTCACCAGACATTCCACTCCTGTGCCTTTGTTGATCAAGCTTCATTGTGAACTGGGCCTATGGTAGGCTCGGGAACATCAAGACTGGACCATGGATAAGTGGATGAATCACAGTTTCTCATTCATCATATTGATGGTCATATCAGGGTAACCATCATCCAGGCGAACATTTGTTCCCTCTATACAGCAGGTCACACAGAGGCTGCTTGCTGCTGGTATTATGCTTTGGGGGATGTTTTCATGTGTGACTTTGAGACCCTTAGTTGCGGTAGAACAGACCCTGAAATCTGCGGACCCTCTGAATGTAATTTTTAGATCATTTGCACCCTTACATGCCGTCTGTCTTACCAACTGAAAATGGAATCTTCCAGCAGGACAACGCCGCAAGTCACAAGGCTCGAATTGTGTTGGAGTAGTTCCAGGAGCATAAGGTTGAATTCCAATTTAATGACCTGGTCACCTAACTCGCTGGATCTTAACTTGATAGAGCACATTTAGGATATCTTGGAGAAACATCTCGGAGCTCAAACGCCACCATGTTGGAATCGGAATATCTCGACTTTGGATGACCGCTGCTTAGACATTTGGTACAACCTGTTTCCAATCATCTACCAAGAACTTATAGTATCGATGCCAAGGTGAGTTGCAGCTATTTAACAGACCAATGGTCATGTAACACGTTATTGAGTAGGTGTTCATGATGTTTGAGGTCTTCAGTGTATCCCTCATTAAAAGTGAGTATCTCATCTCCTGTAACTTTTTGTGAAAATTTTCCTAAGCCTTACATGGGAGATGACTATTGAACTCAATTTTATACATGAGCTCATCAGTTTATTTTTTATATGTCCTCTTATTGAAGAGCTAAAGAGAAACTACTAGGTTCGTGGCGGGATCACCTCTTGGCTGAGTGCATGAATGTTCTTAGGATTTTTCATTGCATCTGATGTAACTACAAACTATCTTCTACAAAATCTTCCACAGTAAGGTAGCTAGAGGTAGTTATACAGTTTTTAGTCTGTCAAAACATTAGTTGATATTTATAATTTTCAATCAAATGTTAATAAAAGAAATTATGAGCATGTAAGGACCTTTTTCATGTATAAAAATATTTCAGCATAAACTTTGCATTAAAATTTTAATTAATTAACTAATTTTTTTTTTTTCCTAAACTATGTCTTGGCTAAAATTTCTGTAGTTTGAAAGCCTGTCTTATTTTGCCCATGTGCATAAAAATCCATATTATGTTACTTTATATTCACAACTATTATTCACAGACATAATAATTCGAATTCCAAATGCAAAAATGCTTTAAATAATACAAATATTCATTATTTGCAATTTTTTAAAAAATGAATTTCATAAAAAATATCTTTCTATATGGTCTTTATAGTCTGTTATATTTAATAATAAAACTTTGTATTAATTCTAAAAGCTTATAAAAAGTTTCATAGAAATTGATTAAGATATTTAATTTCGAAATGTGGAACTTTTTCCACCTTTTTTAACTTTTCTTAAGAGATCAGTTAAAAGATAAATTAGTATAATTCAAGGTTGATTTTTCTTTTGTTTAAATGTCATTCAATAATATTCATTTGTGATTTATTAGAGTGTACTAAAGATTTATTAGATTATTAGAGTTTTACTAAATTTAACTATAGGGATTGAGAACCATATAAAGAGTAGATTTTGTAATTTTTACAATTTTTTTTTATTTATTTATTTATTTTTTATTTTATTTTAAGATGCCATAACCTGAATATCTTCCTTAAAGCATTTTTCTGACTGGAAGTATGAGCAATGTTTGCAAAATAAAAGCCTCGTAATTATTTTTAATGGCACAGTGTATAGTAGTCCAGTCTTTCTGAAATGCATTATAATGTATTTATAAAAATATTAAAAGCACATTTAAGTAAAATGAACATATTTTTGCACATTTTGACTTCCTGGTTTCAAAATTTTTACTATTCTGAATCATCATAAATTTTGGGGCTACTTGTATATAAATATTTCCTTTTGTTCTTATAATTGACTAAAAATTAAAATGTGTTTATACATATATAAACAATTTAATTGATCGTCATAAATTGCCTAATACTTGCACAAAAGCTGCAAAGTAATGTAATAATAATTTATTTTTTAGTAGATTACTTAGTATATTATTTCCTTTGACAAAAGTAATTAGAATTCTATTGAAATGAAGTAACTCATTAGCATTTAAAAATTTAATCTTGAATAAATTTGAAATGGAAACATCAAAAATGAATCTTTAACAAATTTAAAATGGAAACTTTATAAAGGTATAATTATAAGTGAAAATGTATTCAATAAACTAAGTAATTATCGTCACTGACCGGAAATTAGTTGACTTTTCAAGGAGAACAGACTAACTACCGATCAATTAACAATAATTAATAAATGAGAAAGTATTTTATCCTTTTCTCAAATAAGAATTATTATGACAGAAGCTATTAGTAAGTTGAATTTAAGTGATATGAGTTAAAGTAAAAGTGCTGTTTGAGAATTCAGTATTTAACTGACTTCCATCAAGTTTTAAAATCGTGATATATTTTTGTAAGAGTAAGTTTTATTTTTCTGCTTGAGAAAAATGCCCCGACATTTTCACCTTTAATCATGTTAACTCAATGTGAACTTTGTAAAAATACTGAACACAATGCAATCTTTGTAAAAACAATTAAACAAGTAAGAAAAGGCAAATAAAATTATATTCACATAAGACAAAAAAGTAAAATTAAAAATGTATGAAAACGAAATTTGCATAATATACATAAATGGCCAGAAGATGAATTATTAATTAACTTACATGTTTGTTAGCTTTTAATGTGATACAGGTCTGTTACTTTCTTTATACTGAGAGTGAAATTTGGAATTCGAATCAGGATGGAGAATGGAGGAGTAGAGAAAATGAGTCGGGGTAGGCGTGGACTTGTTGGAACCTATTTTTAGAATGCGCGAAAGAAGTGGTCGTGCAACTTTGGAAAACTTCTAAGTGTAAGATTTGTCTGTTGAAATATTGACTTTAAACTGAGCAAACAAAAGAAGTTAATTAATTTCTAATTGTCATGCCAGAAAGAGAGATAAAGTACTACTAATCTTCACTGCTCAAGAGCTGTTAAGCAGGCTTAGGTTTGATATAGGCCCATTTTTACTTCCTTGTACAAAGTAAAGGAAGTATTCTAATCACGAAAAATTCCGGCTATCATATTTAAATGAAAATATAGATTTTGACTGCTATCAAATGCAATTTAATGATGTTTTTACGTGACATCTGTACGTAAGGACAGAATGAAGGACTCTCTTTCCCCAAGCGAATTATAAAATTGATTTAAATGGATTTAGAAGAGACATTTTCGTGGCATCTGTATACGTATGCATGTATGTATTACGCATAACTCAATAACGAATAGCCTCAGAACATTGAAATTTTGTGTATAGGATTGCTATAACATGTAACTGTGCACCTCCGTTTTTGGTTGCAATCAGCCACACCACAAGTGTATATATATATGTTGTATGATCTTAAGTTGTTTAAATGCGGCTAAGCCTAATTCTTCTTATGAAAGCAGCCATATTTGTTTACATTTGGAACTTAGTAGTGAATTAAGTCATTCTGCATTTTCAGTGTCTTTTTTTGCTGAGAAACACCAAAAGGAAATTTTTAGGTTTGTTCACCAAAAAATCTGCCTTCTTGCCTGCTGGCCGAATTGCTTATTTTTGTGCAAAAACTCTAATTTTATTTGCAAAAATTGTTTTTAATTGTTTAACTGTATTTGGCGTTTTATGCTTTTTTATGTTGTTAATTGTTTTAGCTGTATTTGGTGTTTTATGTTTTTCTATATCTTTCAATTTTTAATGAAGATATTTTGAGTGTTTATTATTTTTGCCTTGCTGTGAAGTAAAAACTGAATTGAATGAGAAATGTATCTCTAGTGAAAAGCAAGGAAATAAGTGTTTCGTATTAGCAGCAAATATTGTCGTCAGTCTGTCTCAGACACAGCAGAATGTTTACGAGTAGCGCATGTGTATTAGGTAAACGGTGCTGAATCATGTGTTAAAAACTGTTTCTTTTTTATTTGTTTAATTTCTTTTATACATCGTTTTAAATTTAATAGAAAATTTGAATAGAACATGTGACAATGATTAGATAATTCTTCGGATGATATAATTTTTGTGCATTCTGAGTTATAAAATGAATCATATGTAACGCTGTTAAGTGAACCTAAGAGTGTCGCTATGGGAAATAATATAGTGAATTTTAATGAGAGCATTTATTCTATTGTGGTTTATGTGCTATTGACAAAGTAGATTTAATTCAATTCAATAAGTGTAAATGAAATGCAGGAAGAAATGCGTATAATTTTATATTCCGTACAAGGAAGTTATGTGGTGTACACATCAGAATTTTTTAGTAACAGTAAAGAAAATGCCAGAAGTATGGTTTTTACATTATATACAGTAACTACAGTACTATTCACAAATCTTTTAACTGAGAGTCATCCAACATATACCAACTTTTAAAGTTTAGGTATAAATTGTTATATCCCTATTAGCCAAATGATTTAGAATGAGTACTTAATGCCTGCTCTTTTAAGACAAATTTTAATACAATTATTTCGTACTTGATTATTTTTAAGAATTTTAATTAGTAGTAGAATTTTGTGTTGTAGATTTAGTGTTTTTATCTGTACAAATACTTTTAATATGCTGTGTCTGATTTAATATAGTTATTACTAATAACGTTCTTGGAAATGTTGGGAGTCCAATTTATTAATTTGTTAGTATTTATTAATTTGTTAGTTGATAATTTGTTGCATGGATAAATACAATAAGTTAGTTGCATACATATTTCTTTTTTGCTTCTGGAGCTTTGTTGGGGGGGGGGGGATTATGGTACGTGGTTTGCTGTTTGCTTGGTTTTCGGTTACAAGGTACTCAGTTTATAAGTTCATAGTTCAGCACACAGTTTATAGTAAATACAGTTAGTTAAAAGAAAAAAAGAAAACTAGTTTTGCAATTAAAATTAGAGTTTCTACGCCAAAACAAGCAATTCGGCCAATGGGTAGGAAGATTAGATTTTCTGTGCACAAAACTGAAAGTTAACTTTTGACCCCACTGAGCAAAATGAGACTGAAGTTGCACCAATTGACTTAATTCACTATTTTACTAAGAGTTTCGAAGGTAAGCAAATGGGGTACTTTTCTGTTATCAGGGCAGGATTCAGAAATGTATGTGTATAAGCATGTATGTATGGATGTATGTGTTCATCTATGCATGTGTATATGTGTGTCCATGCACACACATACATATAACATACACCTTTTTACATTCATATGTTTCTGAATCCAATCTTGATAACAGAAGAGTATTGCAAATGGTAGCCTCATCAGGTCTAGTGCCAGTTAAACTTTTAAAATCGTGATAATTCTACAACTATTGCATACAGATTGATTAAAGGCATAAAAGCCTTAACTGGAACATAAGAACAACACAATTTAATTACTTTTAAAGCAAAAAAATGGACAATTTACCAACATTCAAGAATTAAAAAAAAAAAGAACTAAGCTCACTGAGCTGGGTAACAGAGTGGGAATATATATACATACATTTATATAAATTTGGTGCCTTTTTCTTTTTCTAGGGAATGCACCCTGTTCTCAAAAGCGATATCTACACAAAAGTATTATCCGCTTTGAAGGATTAATATGTTTGATTTATAGAAGACGATTACAAACTTATCCCTAGGGCTGGTTTTTTTAACCCCACTGGCGCCGATTGCTTACCCATTTGTAGCGTGAATATGACGCAATCTCATTTAGAGAATACTCCATGGTGGCACGATCATTCCATGATCCCTTCATCATACTCCATGATCCTTCCTTTAGGATCATAACTCTCAATTGCTTTCCCATAAATAAGTAGCCAAATATGTATTTATTTCTCATTTTTCTTCCATTACAAGCTTTTTCTTCACATTAATTAGCGATAACAAGAAACACTGGGAACTTTTCTTCCCGTGGCGCAGGTGAATGGGATATCTTCGTTTTAAGCTCCATGGTGTGATCTTTGGGGCTCCTTCGATATGTTTTTGTTATTGTTCCTTCGCAACCACATTGACGCACGCGGCCGAACTTTCTTCGAACAGTTTCTGTCACCTAGAAATGCAAAGAAATCATAAGCAAAAATTTCGATATCCTTTTGGCATCTTTTAAAACGTCATACTTTACACAACTTAAATTCTGGTCTAGTTGTTTCGTTGCTTAGAAAGTATTACGTGGCGGATTTGGATAATTTGCTATTGGTGGTTTGTCATTACACTTAGATGAAGCAGGTATATGAGAAGTCAATTCATTTGATGTTGGAGGAAAAAACAGTAGTAGTTGTAGGGAGATGACAATGTTTGCCTTTCTTTTACCTTAGTCTCAAAGAAACGCAAGCTGCATATAAATTCATTATGTTTACAGGGTATAAGGCTGTAACAGACAATACATTTCACAAAACTTTTGGAGATTTTGCCATGAAAAAGTGAAGAACATTGGATGTAACATTCCACCAGTAGAAACTGAGCAACTGAAAGTCAATTTCCATCAACTAGTATAGTATTTATCATCAAAATTCTGTGTTCGTGAATGCCTCCACAATCTTGGCTCTGTTAATCGTTGTGACTGATGCAGTCAAGTAGTCATCCCATACAATTTGCTTAATCGAGTTTCCCTTTGTTAGTGATCTTGTTATCTAAACAAGTTATGAGCACGACTGAGTTTCAATACCTGCCAAACAGTACGAGACTTATCACAGACACTCCCATCACATCTGTGTCCAGTTGAAAGTCAAGCTCTGTCAAAGTAGACGGAGCTTACCATCGGTGCTAGACTTACCATAATTTACTATCGTTACCAACCATAATTTATCAACAAATGAACAATGAAGAAAGATAAGAAATGGAGCTAGCTTTTCTATCTCGACGAGAAATATTCTGCAAGTATCAATCAGAAAAAAATGCGCTTTACAGCAAACAGGATTCGAGCAGTGCCCGAGCAACAACATCCATAAGCAGGGCTTAGAAAGTCCTCCACGAAGGCATCCTTCCCCTTAGGCAGATAGCCCTCGAGGCTTTGCCGTAATTAAATAACCTAACCAAACCATTAGCAGGGCCAGCTCCGGAGCTGGTGCAATCATTGCGATCGCACCGAGAGACAAAACTTTTAAAATTTAGCAGTAGCAGAGCAACCAATAAACAGTAACTCATGGTGATAACTCTTGGCATACACTAAGAACAATAAGTTTTCTGTAAACAAATGGTTCTCCCCACCAACATATGTGGCGAGACCTGGACGAAAAGGCATTTTGTATCTTTTCAGGAATACAGCATGACTTGCTGGATATGTCCTTTGTCACCAAGCATATTTTCCTGATATTTCTTTATCAGATTACCGCATTTTTAGAAAGCTCTGATGAAAGTGCAGCAGCAATCTCTAATACATTGATGCAAAGTGTGCAAAACCATTCACAAGATTTTAGATATAGTATTTCATCTTTTAGTGCTGGTAATCCAAATGTGCCTAGAAGAAACATTCAGAACTGGGAAGAAGCATTCAGTCTACGAGTATTTTTAATTAACAAAAACGATAAAACTGTCAGAGCCAGTTATTCAAATCACATGTTACAAAATGCTCTAAAATTTACTTCGAAAAAAATCTAGATATGGATATTGAAACTATAATGTTAAAGATATATGACCACTTTTCAATAACTCTAGAGAAAAGGCGACAATTTCAACCACCCCCTTTGTTTTTTTCAAAAATTGTAAATTCAGAATAGATGACTTTCTACTCTCTTTAACTCCAACCTAAACTTGGCTGATAGAAAATGAAATTGTTGTTATCGGCTCTTTCTAAAGCCTTGAAGATTATCCTAAATTCGTCTGTGCCTACCAGCGGCTGAGCGGCAAAGTCACTGAATATTGGTAGTTCTGTCCCAGGGGGTTAGAATTCCGGCAAGTGGGTTGGCTGCATGGACGCTTTCGTAGTTTCCTCTATGTGTCACGCATATACAAATCAGTTTACCTAAAACAATCCTCTAAAAAGGCATCTCTCCCCTTAGGCAGATATCCCTCATGTGCTTTGCCATAATTAAATAAAACAAACCAAACCTAAAATTTATCCTAACGAAAATATATTAATGCATTCGCACTTTTTTCACATTCTTAGGCAGCAAATGGATATATCTGTTAGAATTTCAGGACAGAAGTATATGATTCATATTATAGCAGTGCCTTCGTGGAAGACTTTTTAAAGGAAACTGACTGATGCTTGGGTTGCACACGAAAGAAACCGAAAAAATTCTCATGCTGGTAGCCCATTTGCCTTATTCGAAACCGGGTCGAACTGTCAGTATTCAGCGATGTCACCATTCGGCTTTTGGTGCACAAATTTAAAGGGTAAAATATTTAAGCAAATTAAAATCGTTTAAATAAGGGTTTCTATAAAAGATAAAATTGCGCAAAGCCTTAATGATGCATATATTCGGCAACCTGATGAAACAGAAATTTAAATCATCACCTAAGTATTCCTAGATCAAAATTATAAAGAAAATATGTTTTATAATAGCACTTTAAATTTTCTAGAAATTAAATGCAATTTTATTTAAAATAATAAATATTTCTCATTGAAATAGTTTTCTTTGTGTAACGAAATAACCAATAAAAGTTTTTAAAAAGTAGATGAAATATTCAGTCCTTATGATATAAGTAAATTTAGATAATTTGTGTGAAGAATTATATGACCAACATTTAATTGAAAATGTTAATTTTCATAGAAGTTAAGTTTCTAAATTTAGTTTCTAAAGTACCAGCAAAATTTCTACCAAACATTCTTAAGGTAATTAGATTTTTTATTAGATTTAGCAATCCAGACTCAGATGAAATTGTTGAAAATGTTGTTTCCCAACATTCATTTAAAGCAATGGCTACACGCCATTTGCATGGAAGTTACATATAGAAATTGTGTTAACTGAAAGATAAATGAATAGTATATACCAGGGCCTAATTTAACTTCTCAGTATCCATTTCTAACAATAATGGCAAAAATGTGTACCTGGTTTACGCGCATTAATTTACAATGAATCTGAAATCTAGATACCTGGTGTCTTGGATAAAGAGTCGGACAACGGTCCAATGGCAGGACGTCCGGAAAAAGATCGTGTTCTCGTATGATGTCATAGAACTCATCTTCATATTGGATTTGCCGCCACATATGCATAAACTAAAGAGAAAAATAAAACATAAAATTAGGATTGTAGAGTAGAATCCAAGTTTTTGGACTAACTGGGACACAATCCATCCACATATTCCAAAGATAGTATAACTGAATTATGTTCTATTTTTTTTGTTTTCTTATTTACCATATAAATTATATTTAAAAATATTGCACTTTATTCTCAAAATATATATGCATATATACACCGAAGAGCCAATACACTATGGTCACCCTGTTAATAACATGAAAGATTACCTTCAGCCCTCAAAAACAGGCAGCACCCAGCGTGGCATTGACACCAGGAGGTGCTGATACGTAGTCTGAGGTATCTGGTACCAAGCGCTCACCTACTGGTGCTGAAATTCCCGCACATTCCGAGGAGATAGCATGGCAGCACAAATTTGGCTTTCCAGGTGGGACCATATATGCTCTATTGGATTAATGTCAGGTAAATTTGGAAGTTAAGACATGACTTGAAAGTCACTTGAATGTTCCTCGAACCACTCCGACAATTCGACCCTTATGGCATAGTGCATTATCCTGTTGGTTAACACCATCCCCCGCCAGAAATACTGTTGCCATGAATGGATGAACCTGGTTTGCATTTTGATGTTCACGTAGCGGACAGACGTCAGGAATTGTTCTATGGAGATTATGGGTACTAATGTGCTACATGAAAACATTGCCCACACCATAATACCCCCGCCACCGGCTTGTCTCCGTCCAACTATGCATCCGGGAGACGTGGTTTCGTTTGGAAATCGGCGTGTTAACACACGCCCGTCGATGTGATAGACCAAAAAACGTGACTCGTCGGATCATGCAACTTTCTTCCATTCTTTTAATGTCCTATTCCAATATTTCTTGGCTGGTGGTGATTTCGGCTGTTGTAACTCTTCGGTCACGGCGAACAATGAGTAGCAATCTCCTTTCTTCTCTGGAATCAATGCGCCATCGACGACACGCTGCTGGCCGGCGACTTGTCGTATCATCGTCCATACACCACTTTCGATATATGCTTGCAACAACTGGACGTGAATAACCCACTAAACGCGTCGTTTCTGATATTGATGTTTTCAGTCACCGAGCCATAACGATTTGACCTTTATCGAAATCCGATAAATCAGCTGCTTTTCCTATAATGCCGTTGATCGTGCTATGTTTGGAAAGACAACGCTGATGGAACGGGACAGCTTCCGTCCTAATGCGGCCTAATAGGCGCTAATCGGAATTAAGTGCCGCCGCGCCACTTGATCGATCCACAATGTTACGGCCCCACAGAGCAAGGGCACACAAGGCAGTACCAGTACAGTCCCTGCCCTGCCTTACTCTATCCCAAGAGCCCTCAGGCCCTCTGTGAAGTCTGTTATTATGCCCCCGTATTTGAGACTGCCTAGGTACAGATCCTAACCAGTACTTCTCAGGCGTTCGCCTCAGTCAACCCCCGGGGGATTTTTGAAAAGACAATGTATAACCGCATTATGCACTCCAACATCAGCCGCGCATGTGCAGTGGTTTTGTTCAACCCATTATTATAGATGGAGGTGGTCATAATGTAATGTCTCTTCGGTGTATATATGTTATGATGAAACATCGAACTCTGGAGAATGTCAACATTCACATAGTCGCTTGGTGTACATCCGAAATATTTTCCAAATACTCTTATTTCTGACTTAAACCGGTAAATGTCGACATTCACCATGTACTAATGATTAATGTTGAACAATAAGAATACCATATTTTCTTCTCCATAATTCAGTCACGAAAAAGCGCACTTGAGACTTTAAATAAGAACTTAAGAAGATAAGAATTTAAAACACACAGTACATTCAAAATGAGAAAGGGATATAATAGAAGTTAAAAACTTACTAAATTATGTGATTCAAATCTTATTTATTGCAAACAACTTTAAAAAACTATTATGACACTTTTTGAATTGCACAAGAGGCCCTGCTTTTACAACTGTATTTACTTGTGGAACATTTCCTTTTGCAATGACAGCGTGTACATATACTCTCTCTCTTCGACCTACACCAGAGCATATCTGTGATTGTCGACATACAGCGGTGAGGGTCCGAAAATCAAATGAATGTAATGCAAATATTCGATTTCACCGACATATTTGGTGAATGTTGACATTCTCCGGTGAAAGTCGCCATTCTCCAATTTCGGTCTTTCACGGTAACATATGTTTAAATAAGAAATTTATTACCTACACAAACTCCCACAAAAAAAAAAAAAAAAAAAAAAAAAAAAAAAAAAAAATGAAATGCAATACCAATAAATTTCAAAATACTCGTATACTATAAATATACAAAAGAAGAATTAAAGAAATGTGAAATTAAAATCTAAAAATTGTAAAAAATCTGATAATATATACCAAAACCATAAAAATAAAGAAAGAGGAACTCAGTTAAATCTGACGTAATGTTATCAAGAGAAGGATACATCAGACTCAATTACAATCCCCCTTAAAAATATATAATACAATTTAAATTAGCAGTAGCCCCTTAATGATTAATTTCAGTTTGGGTTATTTTCCTCTCTATTCTAAAAATAGTAATATTTCTCTCCACTGCGTCATTTCGAGACTAATCCATGTCATTTGATTCTTACTTAACGCTGGTGAAATAACTGAAACTAAAGCTCAAACGGCCAATAATAATTTTACAGCAATATTAGTTATCCAATCAAATGCATTGAAAATCCAAACTAATTCATTACGAATTAAAATTTCATCCTGAACTTAACTTTCTTGCTTTCTGCACTTTAGCCTAGCTGGACTGCTGCTCTCTTCCAACTGCAAAGCTATTAAAAATATTCTTACGTTTTTCTTTTCTGACACCAGTTGTCGCGTTATTTTCTTCCTTCACATTCGTACGAGGTTTGTAGATTTGGAGTGAATAACGACGACACTTGATGAGTATCAAAACACATTTTATTGTTTACCAATATTAATCAGGACAGCTCCAAAACACTTTTACAGTCGTTAAAGATCTACTATAAACACGCTGGAACAATCAGCAACACAGCCTTCGCACTGTCAGACAATAACGGTGGAGACAGCTTCACTGCGAAACACCAGAGTACAACTCCCGACTCTGCTCGGTCGTTCTCAGAACTCCACGTACTCTCGAGACTCTCCACGCTACAACTCGCGATGGCACTCAACGACACACAGAGTATAGCTCCCGACTCTTCGGTTCAGTCGTTCCCGGAGCTTAACACACTCTCTCGACAACGCACTACCCGCGATACACTATGCACTCGACGACCATCTCGGCTCTAGTCTTCGAGACACTCGCTCAATGACTGACTATCAGCTCGCTAGACGAGGCACACTCACTAACTACTGGGGACCAGCAGCGTTTATATAGCTTTCGGCTTATGTTCAAGAACATTCTGGGCTAAACCGGTAAGAATTCATTCCAGAAGGTTTTCCATCCGTCCATGGTATATCGCCAATTTTGTCGCCAAATGGGCGATTTCTCGCCAAATATGGCAACCCTAAAAATTCTTTGCGGGGAAGCCATCTTACTGCGCCTGTACATTTCGTTACAATGTAAACATTTTGAAATAAACGCGAGTAGTGTGCCAAGTTGTTTGCGGCCGCTCAGTTTGCCCTTCATTAAATTCCACACCGTGTACTCTTTCCGATAAAATTACTAAAATGTATATTAATAGGAACTTAATACGACTTAGACAACGAGTATTCTCAGTCACACCAGCTATAGCTCAAGTCGTATTACGTTTAAAATTGGACAATTATAAAACTTCCTTTTTCCCAATTAATATATTGCTACGAATTTTGTATTTAGATAGCTAATGTTAGTAGATTTATAATTAAAATTGTTTTATTTCCTTGTGCAATGCAGCACGAGACATATTTTAAAAGAAAGCTAAGCCGAAAAAGTAAAAATACAGGAGCACGTGCATTTTAATAAATAGATATCTCGTAGTTTATACGAGGGTTGGAACTTTAATAGTGGCAACACAGCTGAAAAAACGCTGCGCAACAAAACCAAAGAATATCGCGTATACCACACGTAAACTACATACCTACCTTACCTCTCAGCAAAAAGACTCGTCCTGCCTACGTCACGCGCATGCGGAGTGATGCGAAGAACGAATCCTTGTATTAGCTCGCGGTCTAAAGTAAGTGTTGTCAGGATGTTTTCAAAACAAGAACAACGATGTTGGATGAAAATTGAATGTGCCAGAGGTCGTACAGCACAACAGTGTCATCAAGGGCTTCATTCTTCTTCAGCTATGAGCGCGAAGGAGATGCTTTTTTACGCCGTATCATTACGCTGGATGAGATTTGGGCCCGATCGTACCAGCCAGAACTGAAACGCCAGTCAACGAATGGCGTCATCACGGGTCACCACGACGTTCGAAATTTCGTCAGAACCCCAGCAATGTGAAAGGTATGGTGATTCTCGTGTACGACTGTGACATTTTAACGCATACCGTTCCCCCACTAAAGACTGTCACTGCGCAGTATTACTGCTCATTTTTGGAGCACAATCTCTGACCAGCTTTGAGAAAAAAACGGCGAAACTTTATGCAGAACGCTCCTCTCATTTTGCATGACAATGCTCGGCCGCATGCAGCGGCAAGCTGTGACTGATTCTTCAAGCGATGGGGGGGGAAGTTCTTCTTTACCATCCACATACTCCCCAGAATCTAAGACCTTATGGACTTGATTTCCTAAGCTGAAGGAAAACCACTTCGTGGCACTCGCTTCCAAACTGTTCCTGAGATTCTTGCGGCAGTAGAACCGGTCCATTCAAACTATCAAACAAAAAACAGGTGCTGCTACAGGTATTCTGCGACTTCCACATCGTTGGAAACGGGGTTGTACACAATGCTGGCAACTATATTGAAGGGCTGTAAAACATGGTGACATGAATCACTTTTGTATTCCTTGTAAATAAATAGTTGCCACTATTAAAGTTCCAACCCTCGTATTTAAATTGAATAAATGTAATTGACTACTGTGTTAGCTGTAACCGTAATTCTACTTTTTTTTTTTTTTTTTTTTTCCCCAGAAATTTTGAGAAGCAAAGAAATCACTAGAACTCTCTCGCGACCGATTGAAAGCTTTAAAAAGCCAAAGAGAAACATCTCAACTCAGTTGCTTACTTACTATTATTGCAATTTGTTTTGAGTTCCACGCAAAAGGAATTCGCTTTCTCTTTCTCTTTGACTATCAACAAAATAGGCGTAGTAGTTTAAAGTATACCTGCTGGTTGTATTGCGTTCTATTTAACGTATTTGCTTTCTATTGATCATTAGTGCCTGATATTGTGAACACTTGTAAGAATATCTCCGAGGGAAATTCCAGCGTTCTTTCTTTTGATAAAAATAAATTTTATTAACCTTTTATCGGACTTGTGCATTCAATCTATTACGAACCCATACGCACGCAGCAATATTTATACAATTATGTACAATAATGATCACAAAGATTTTTTTTTTTTTTTTTTTTTTTTTTTTTTCATTTTCTTATCAACTCCAGCGCATAAGTCGTACACCATACTTTGCATTTTAGACACTGAATCATGTTCTTTTCGCGGTCTTCTTCAAAAATATTATAGGAAGACCAATACGATGTGAAGCACTATGGTTGACTATTACCGAAGCAGGCAGTTGGCATGATATTATCCCTAATATTTAAAAGGTATATTTTCAGCAGTAGTACGATTTGCGCAACTTCCCCCTATATGCTTACACATTAATCTGGGTATTCCCAAATATTACAATTTCACTATAAAAACAAAAAGTCTGTTTGTTGCATTAAACCAAACTACATTAAATTATCTTTCAAACACATATCTTTGTACTCATGTATTCCTATTCCACTATTAGTACTGTATTAGAAATTCGATATACTGTATTAGAAATTCGAGTCTTACCTCCGGGAAAGAAAGACAACCATCCCTGTCTCTGTCAGCTCGCTCTAGTAGTCTGCTGACATAATCATTGGGTACGTTGACTCCAAGGAAATTGAACAAAGATTTTAGTTCAAATACATCGAGGAGCCCATTGCAATCCAGATCAAACCTGGAAGACAAATAAGATTATAATCCAAGTGCAAAAAATATGCTATTGTTAGCAATTTCCACAGTTTGCCGCCAGATGGCGTCATGACTATTCAAAGCATTTGTAATAATGAAAGCTAAAGCGAGATAGAATATAATCATGGCAATAGATGATATTAACTACTCAAGCATTTTTAAAAATACAACAGACTTAAGTATTTTGATGTTGTTGGTTGTGAATTTCTGTCCCGATAAACAACTCAAAAACTCTGATGGGTAGACAACATGATTTCCTTGTACGGGATATTAAATGATACGCACTTTTTTCCTGCATTTCGTTTAAACTTATTTCCTGGAATTTCATTAGAGATATTTTTCATTCAATTAACTCAGTTCTCATTTCGCGGCAAGGTAAAAATACATAAAAACCCAATATATCTTCATTAAAAATTGAAAGATATTGAAAAACATAAAAGACCAAATACAGTTAAAACAATTAAAAGAACAATTTTTACAATTGAAATTACATTTTCTACGCAAAAACACAAGAAATTCACCCAGCCGGCAAGAAGGCAAATTTTTCGGTGCACAAAACTAAATAAGTTTCAAAGGTAAACAAATATGGCTGCTATGGTAAAAAAAAAATTAGGCTTAGCACACTTAACTTTTAAATTGTTGATAAATCTACAACTATTGCATGCAGATTAACTAAAGGCATCAAAACCTTAACCGGAAGATAAGAACAACATATTTAATCATTTTTAAAGCAAAAAAATGCACAGTTTACTAACATATAAGAATAAAAATCTGAGCTCACTGAGCCGAATACCATAGTGGGTATATATATTTATATACTTTTGGTGCGGCCAATTGGGCTCTAGTGTAGAATTGGGTGCCTCTTCGATTAGCGACAAATTTTGTTAACCAAAATAGGAGGTGCAAAACTACATGTTATAGCAATCCTATATACAAAATTTTAACGTTTTGAAACTACTCGTTTTTGAGTTATGCGAGATACATACGTATTTACGTACAGACGCCACGGAAAAAATCTCTTGTGTATCCATTTCAAATCTATTTTGTAATTTGTTTAGGGTAAAAGAGTCCTTTATTCTATCCTTGCGTACAGATGTCACCAAAAAACATCGTTAAATTGCATTCCATAGCGGTTCGACGGGATAATTTCGGTGTTGAAATTGATTTGCCCGGAATTTTTCGTGATTACAATGCTCCTTTATTTGTGCAAGGACGTACAAACGTACACATAGTGGATATATAAAGTAAGGAAAAATTCAAAAGGAGAGTAAAGGAGAGAAGAAGTCGGGTCCTTTTTGTCCTTCAGAAGTATTGTTTTTTCGTTTTGCCGATTGCGTAGGATTTAAAACGTGGTTCACTTTTCACTGTTTCCACCAAAAGGTTAGTCCTGCATTATAATTGAAGAAATAAATAATGAAAAATCTGCATAACATGTCTATTTTCGCATTGTGATAAAACAATGGTACTAGAGCCATCGAATTTTGAATGACGAAAAATCCTACTGCGAATATGGGCATCTGAAATCCCAAATTTGGAATTTTGTTTATTATAGATTTTATATTTTGTAAACTTTAACGAATTTTGATTTACAAACTCAATGCTTTAAAGCGAGAAATGGCAACGTTATATAGAAAAAAAAATACTTTTATCTCCAGCTCGCGAGACTGTGTATATCGGAAAATTCTAAAGATATGCTAATTTAAATTTTAACATTATTTGCGATATTGCCTTGAAACTGAATTTTATGGTTTTTAATGAAACATGATATTTAATAAAAGAAAGGTAACACTCAAAACGTTAAAAAAAAAAGCCCTTTGGACGTAATTAAAAATCTGAAAACATTTGAGTTTTTTTTTTTTTTTTTTTTTTTTTTTGTTGTTGTGTTGTTGTTGTTGTTGTTGTTAACTGTTGTCTAATTTAGATTCTAGTGTACTGTTTGAAAGAAAAGGAATGTTGTAGTTACTATACATTATTAAAATATTTTAATTTCTATGGTTGTTTGAAATAAATTAAAGAGTTTTGTTTTTAATTCTTGCTAGTAAACCATTCTGCTGTTTTCCAAACACGAGGAAATGCTTGAAGAGGAGATTTCTTTGGGTGAGCTGTGACGGGAAGAGGTAATGATGATAGTTCTAAACATCAGCTCACAAAAAACTCATGAGAAATAAGGAAATTCGGAGTAAACGCGAAATATTCGAACTCTAAAATAAATATCACCTGTAAAATCACAACACACATCTTCAAGAATCATATGCAAATTTCAGGTAGTAACCAGATGACACCGATGGTACGTCACAATGACGAGAGTGTAAGAGAGTGATATATAAGGAATACAGGCAAAGAAGTAAAATTGTTCGCAGGCACTTTATAAGCATTTCAGTGCAATAACCGAATAGTTATGACACAAAGGACGCATTGGATGATTTTTTACGTGGTAGAATTATCGGCCGTCTGGAATGTGGGGCGTACCCAACTGGAAGTATCAGACAAACTTGGAATTGCCCAGAGTGTCATCTCCAGGCTTTGGCAACATTCCCAAGATGATGTAATGTGAGTAGACGTTACAGCACAGGTCGCCCCAGAGTTACAACGCCGAATGAGGACCGGTATTTGGCAGTTACTGCCAAAAAAAAAAAACAGGCGGAGCACAGCCTCAGACCTGTCCTCGTCAGCTCTCTTCAGCCACTGGTACGACAATTTCAAGGCAGACCGTGTACAGACGCTTAGGGCAGATTGGTTTATATGTTCGTAGACCTGTCAGATGCGTTCCACTTACTGCAACTCACTGTCGCCTGCGGTTAGCCTGGAGTAGAGAGCATGCACTGTGGACACCGCAACAGTGGGCTTGTGTGATGTTTTCCGACGAGTCCAGGTTTAGCTTGCAGTCTGATTCTCGCCGGACTTTCATATGGAGAGCTCCAGGTATTCGTTACCACCAAGAAAGCATCATTGAACGACACCGTTACGGTGGTGTAGGAGTGCTCGTTTGGGGTGGAATTATTCTGGGTTCCAGAACTGACCTTCATGTTCAAATTGGAATCATGACAAGCCATATCTATCGGGACGTCATTCTGGAACAACATGTACATTTGTTTCGGGGTGCCATGGGCACACAATTTGTTTATGGATGACAACGCCAGTCCTCACCGTGCAAAATCGTCGTAAGCGAATGCCTTCAATCGGAGGATATATCACCCGTACAGACTGGCCAGCATTCTCACCAGACTTGAACCAGTAGAACACGTGTGGGACATGCTTGGCCGACGAGTTGCAGCCCGTCAACCTCCTTCTACATGTCTACCGGAACTTCGGAGTGCATTGCTTTTTGAGTGATGTATGTATATCCCCCAAGATCAGATCGATAATTTGATACTCAGATGCCTAGGCGTTGTACGGACTGTATTGCATCGTCTGGGAGACATACAATGTATTAACAATCAAACCAACCATGTAATATTGGTTTTTTGTAAATAAATAGGTTTTTTTTTTTTTTTTTTTTTTTTTTTGTAATTTGCTCCAGGGAGAGAAAAAAATCGCTAATTTTTTTATAATATCAAACATATAGCATCTGTTTTTGCTCTTTACCTTTTGTTTAATAAATAAGCTTTACAAATAAGTCAAATTTGTTTTGCTTCTAACTTTTCCTTTGCCTGATTTTGCCATCCTTAATTTATGACATGATTACAAAATTTCTCAGGTACTTCGATTCTTTATTTTTTTTTTTTTAATAATTTTGTTTTATTTTAAATAGAGTAACAAGAAAAATGAAAAGAAAACTGCCTAATTTTTCAAATCTCTAAGAAGAATACAGGAAGTGAAGCGCAAAAGCGGCTGTTAATCTCAAAGTGGGATTTTGCAACGAATAACTATAGTTTGTCCGTCCATTCGGCAAAATGTAGGACACATATCTTTCAAACTGATTTGTCTGTTGTGAATTAACAAACTACGCAATTTGAAAGCAACAGATTGCAGTTCTTAAAAATATTCCTATCTTACTTTTGAATCGAGTTGATTTTTATAGTAGTAAAAATGCATTTAATTTATGATCGACCTAATTAAAAATATTCGGTATTTTCAGAGAAGGGCGTTATATGTTTTTTTTTTTTTATTATTATTATTATTATTTATTTCCTATTTTGTAAAACTTTAATTGAATTTTTGATTAACAATCTGGAAAGCGAGCAATGGCAACACTGTTGGGAATAAAAACATTTTTATCTCTAGTGCATGAAATTGTCTATCGGAAATTCTAAAGATATGCTGCTTTTAAACATTTTGTGGTTTTGCCGTTGAATCGAATTTTATACTGCGTAAGAGCCAAGAACGTGATATTTAATAAATAAAGATAAAACACAAAACGTAAATAATAAAAAGACTGAAAAAAAGGGTACTTTTCCGTTTCGCCGGCGCAAATCTCGCCAAGCAGACTTTATTGGCGACAACATACAGTATATGTAATATTTAATAATTTGTAAATAGCAACATTTAATATTTAGTAACTTGTAATTGGCAACACTTTGGAGATAGATATGAAAATAGAAACTATGCTGTATTGCAGTTCTCTGTGATTATACATTCTAGATTGTAAATAAATAGGTTTTTTTAAAGCTAAAAGGTACCCATAAATACTATAGTATACACATAAACAAATATTTAAAAAATGTAGTTCTAAGAATTCTTTTTTTGAGGCATAATAACATTTTAATATCGCTTAAAATTTTTATAAAAAGCCAATAAATAAAGACAATAAATTTGTAAAAAGACATTAATTTAAAGAATTACTATGTTCTTGGTTCAACATCCTGATTCGCCGGTTCATATCAGTGACCCCAAACGATCTCATCTCACGTAAACTCTCTACAAAATCTAATGCTCTCAGTAATTATCTACATTAATGTCAAGTTAAATCTTAATTTGGAACACAAAGTTTAAAATGCAAGAAATATTTCAATTCGTACGAATAGCTTACTTAGAAATTATGTAAAA